TGTTCTTATACAACGGAACCATTGTACTCCACCTCCACTCTTCAGGCATTCTATTAGTCTTGATAACATTAAACAACCCAGTAAGCCATTCCAAGCCTACTCTACCCACACCTCTCCAAAGTTCAACCGGAATTTCGTTTGGCCCGGTAGCTCTGCCCCTCCTCATCTTACACATTGCCTCCATGACCTCATCGACCTCAATGTCCCTACAATAACTTAATTCATGGGGGTTGTCCGCTTTCCTCAATTTACCTAGTGTAATATCCTGATCCCCTTCTTCATTTAGAAGTCTATGAAAGTAAGACTGCCATCTCCTCTTAATTTGGTCCTCCCCCATTAAAACTTTGCCGTCGTCATCTTTTATGCACCTCACTTGGCTAGATTGAAGGGAGGAGGAGAAAAAGAGACCTGACCTATGGTAGAAGTTTTCAACCATGCTATATATATATATATATATATATATATATATATATATGTACAACAATATGTACATGAGGAAATAGCTACTTGCCTGGACATAATCGCTCGTGGGAGGAGATGCAGATGGTGTTGCAGCTATTTTGGCCACGGCAATGAAACGAACAAGTACCAGGATTCTAAGCCAAGACTGTCTTAAATTTCTAACTTCATCATCTCCTGCAATGATCGATTCACTTCATCAATAACTTATTAAGTAGTGACTACTTAGGGGTTAGGATCAAATATTTATAGATATTTAGTGAGACATTTTAGCAAACATACAAAATTTTTTGCAAAAACTACTGATTTTGGAACCCATAGCTTGTATTCTAGATCCACCACAGGTCGTTTGCCATAGCTTGTGCCCTAAACTTGCACTGTTTCTTGATTTACTTGTCACTGAATTGAAGTGCTTCCTATATAACAACTTTAATTAATTATGTTATGTTATGTTACGTTATTTTTCTTCCTCAGCATGCATGCACTTAATAGTCGATCAGCCGCTTTTTGTAATATTCTGACCCTACCTAAACTCGTATTATCATCAGTAAATGCTATTTGGACCTATCATGCACATTTCAGAATGCAAGTTACTCTCCAAACGTTAGCAAACTACAGTCCAAACCATTTT